GACCGATCATCATCATTGCTGCCTCCCCTCGGACACATTCCGTGTTTGCTTTAGATGCTTCACCCACAGCTTGGATTGTTTCACTGTATAGGAAGAAAATAAATCATCAAATACTTGATAGGAATAAACCATCTCTACTGTATTCTATCCAGCATGCCAGCACTCTACCCAAGCAGCTCAGCCCCTCCACACGGCTTCAATAACAACAAAGAAGCTCAGGGGATTCGCCTCCAGGCGCACAATGTCGAACCGCCCATCGGCAGCCTTAAAAATGGCCCGCCACGCCTCCGCCGGGCGCTCCTCGGCGTTGAACAGCGCCATCATCCTCAGGTCCGTCGCCGTGCCCATCTGCTGTATCGACCGGGGCATCGGCGCCTCGCCCTCCCCGGCCTCCTGCTTGCCCACGTAGTCGAGGAAGAAGACGCGCGCCCCGGGCCTCATGGCCGGCACCAGCCCGCGCAGGATTCGCACGCACTCGTCGTCCGGCCAGTCGTGCAGAATCAACTTGATCAGGTAAATGTCCGCCTGCACAGGCTGCGGCCGGAAGAAATCGTGCGCCACAAACGTGACCCTGTCCTTCATATCCGCGGGCTGGTGCTTGTCGAAGCCCGCCTGCGCCTGCGGCAGGTCCTCCACCACGACGCTGAGCTCTGGGAACTTTTGCGCCAGGGCGAACGAGTCGTGGCCGCCGGAGCCGCCAATCTACAAGTCACAGAATAGTTAGCAATTTGTCGAGATGTACAGCGGCTGGGCAGAAACTCACATCCACAACGGTGGCCTTCCCCACGCCCTTCCAGTCAAACGACTGCTCGAGCACCGTCTCCAGGCGAAAGATTTCCTTGAGGTAGCGCATGAACTCGACAAAGTTCCTCTGCCGCCAGCCCTTGCGGTCGCCCTCGCCGTCGTTCTCTATAAACTCCCACGAGGTCTTGTAGCCGCCAACCGTGCCGCCGCGCTGGTACAGCGCAAAGGCCGTCCTGTCCATGTCCCGGGGGAGGCCGGCCTCGCCGCGGGCGTACAGCTCCAGGGCGCGGTTCATGGCGAGCATGGGCGCGCCGGCGTCGGCGATGACGGTCGACACGAGGGCCCGCAGGCCGGCCGACTTGACGAGCGCCGCGGACCGGCACGAGTGCCGCACCCGCCCCGTCGCCTTGAAGTCGCCCTCCGGCGCGAAGAGGCGCAGCGTGAGCGCGTGCTCCAGCACGCGCCGGGCTACTTCCTCGGGCAGGTTGGCGTGCCGGGCGACGTCGGCTGCCGATGCGGAGCCGTCGAGGGGCACGGCGGCCCAGAAGTCAAAGTGGTTCATGAGGTTGAGCGCCATGATGTCGGGGACGCACTGGCGTGAGTCAGCTTAGCATCCGTTTGACAGGACAGGACTGGTTTTGTGTTTGGCGGCACTTACCGTGTGGACGTAGTTGAAGATGCTCTCGCTGGGGCCTTGGACGAGGTACCACAGGTCTGTGATCTTGTCGAGGAGCTCTTGTCGGCGGAGGAACATGTCCCCCGTTAGGTTTTCGTAGCTGGTTGGGCTGGCGGCCGTGAAGTTGGGCTCGGCGACGCTGGCCTCTGCTAGGGACTTGGTGAAGCCGCCTGCGAGCTCTGAGATCTGGGCCGCGAGGCCGTTGATACTTTCGTCGCTGCTCATGATGTTCTGCGCCGAGTGCGGTTGTTGAAAAGTCGTTATTTTTTGGGGGGGACGACCTCTGTCAAATGCGGCAGCGCTGGGCAGATGCTACTTGAGAGCGGTTGTTACAGAGGTTCCCTCACATGCGCAAGGTGCTCGGACGTCCATGCTCGGACGTCCATGTTCGGACGGCCAGCATAAGTACGTACACCCACGAGTACGCCTGGCATCTTGTCTCGTCTCGATCTTGTGCAGTGGGTTATCTGCCGTGATAGACATCCTCTAGGGGTCGCCAAGCCGGAAGAATTAGGAGCGGGGTGGTAACAGCTTGTACAAGATGTCGTGCTTTGAGTGGCTACAGGGATTTCGCGCCGTCTCTTGGCATTACGTACAGTTATACCGCACAACTGGCTTATTACCCGTCAGCGACGGAGTGGGTACGGGACAGGATGAAGTACAGCTGAGGACTTGACCGAACGGAGCAGCTGTAGCCGCTAGGAACAGTGTAGTGAATGCTAGCAGAGACCCTAGATCTTGTCGAGTTGGTGCGCATGCCTCGAGGTGTGTTGTCAGGGTGTGATGTGTGTTCCCCACGCTCCACTCCGCTTCAATTTTAAACGAAATGCCGCAGAGATTGCGCAACATGATCTTATCAATCAAATCGCTGCCAGGTGGAGTGGGGCGGGGGTGGGGTGTTGCGCCACTGAAAAGCGGGCCGTTCCGGGGGGGCGTCCACATATCAAGTTATAGCTTGACCTCAACGTTTCGCCTATAATACATACTATACGCAACGGCGACAAGGTATAGACTCGACCGGTGGGTTTCGTGCAAGACTATAATCTTACCATGGTCCGTTATGAAATGAGGTACAGGCCTCAACCGCGACCTGCGCGGCAACGAGCGAGGAGTGGTAGGCCGATACACTTTTCTAACCTCATCAGAATGACCCCGGCGAGAAACTGGCGGTTGTACGGGGTCCTTGGGGCACGGATTCGAGGAAAATTACTGCAGACTGGGTAATATGTGTGGTCAACTTACATACATGCCTCTTATTAGCGCCAAGGCCAGGCAGGATAGACTTGGCCGTGCTTTTCACAAGGCCAGACTATTCTTCACAAGTAGACTATTAAATGTATTTTCTTCTTGTGCAGCACCAGACAACGAGCTCGCCCCGTGGCCGTGACTGTTTCCCAGGATCAAATCCCTATCCACAGCGCAGTAAACGTCTTTTGCACGCTCAGCATGGCAGACCCAAAGCGCGTGCTCATGCTCACCAACTCGGAGCTGGGCCAGGCCAACGTGTTCCTAGCAGCCACCCACGAGCTCTTGCAACTCGACCCCAACGTCACAATCTACATTTGCTCGTTTGCGCCGCTCGCCCAGCCCGTGGCGTCCGTCCGGGCCCTCGATAAGACGGGCACGGCGGAGAGCAGGCTCAGATTCATCGAACTGCCCGGCCCGTCGTGGAAGGAGGCCCTCTTTGGCCGCCCCGAGCACCAGTTCCAAGAGCTCTGCGCCATCCGCCCAACCGTCTGGAACGTCTCCAAAGCCGCCAAGCTGACGCGCATCGCGTGTCCCTGGACCACCGACGAGCTGTGCAGCCTGGTGACGCGCCTGGAAACCATTATCCACGACGTGGATCCGCACCTCACCGTCGTGGACAACCTCTTCACGCCCGCCGTCACCGTCTGCTACAAGCTCAAGCCGAAATGGGTCGTCTTGTCGCCCAACACGTACAAGGAGTTTGCGCTCGCCGCGCAGCCTCGCCGCCAATACTACTGGAAGTACCCTCCGTAAGTAAACCACGCCCCGTCGTCACCTCCCCCACGCGTCGCTCATTAACACCGGCCTGACCAGCCCGCGGTCGACCATCCCCTTCCCCGTGCCGTGGTACCAGATGCCGCTGGTGTACTACATGGTGCGCAAGATGTACCTCAACCACGACGACCCCTTCATGGGCCAGCACGCAAAGGGCATGAAGGAGGCCATCGACACCGACTACGCCGACTGGGCGTACATCTCCATCGTGCCGCCCGAGGGGCTCAAGATCCTGCTCGCCACCCGGCCCGAGATCGACTTCCCCTTTGACGTGCTGCCCGGCCACATGGTCCCCTGCGGGCCCATGGTCCGGCCGTGCGCGCCGCTGGCCGACGCCGACCCCGAGCTGGCCGCGTGGCTGGCGACCCGGCCCACGGTCCTCGCCAACCTCGGCACCCACGCGACCTACGACGGGCGGCACGCGCTGGAAATGGCCGGCGCGCTGGACGTGCTGCTCCGGGCTGCGGAGAAGCAGGGCAAGCCTCTGCAGGTGCTCTGGAAGCTGAACAAAGGGGACGAATTTGACCTGTCGGACGACACGTTCAAGGGCCTGGGGCAGAAGTGGAACGAGGCCGTGCGGGTGACGACCTGGCTGGACGCGGAGCCCGCGAGCATCCTTGCGACGGGACACGTCGTGTGCTCCGTGAATCACGGCGGCGCAAACTCCTTCTTCGAAGCTGTCAGCGCTGGGGTGCCGCAGGTCGTCTTGCCCGTGTGGGGGGACACGTATGACTTTGCCAAACGCGCCGAGTGGCTCGGCGTGGGCAAGTTTGGCAGCCCGCGGCACGCGCCTAGGGTGAGTGCCAGGGAGCTGGGCAGGGTGTTGAAGCAGGTCGTTTTGGGGCCGGACGCGGCGCGGTTCGCGGAGAGGGCTGCCTCCTTGGCCGAGGTGTGCGGAGAGAATGGCGGCGGGAGGCGCGTTGCCGCGCGGAAGATTTTGGAAATGATGTAGTTTTCGGCGGTGTGGACTGTTTCAAGTATACCGCTTTATAATTGACGAGTGAAATACGAACCACGGCAACAGGGTCGCGTGTAACCCGGCCCCGAGGCCAAGATGTTGACTTGTATTTGTCAAGTATGCGTAGATAAAGTAAAGAGTACTTGAGAGCTCAAGTGACACATTGGCCTGTAACTTATTCCCTCTGGGAGCCCTGCTGGGACCGCGTGCGGCGAGCCGTGGCCTGCGGTCGGCTTTATATATGTACTTGGTAAGATTCAATTTTAAGATCAACACCACATGTGAGGTTCACCATGTATTTTCGCGTAAATAATGTGGGTTGTTTTTTATTAACTATTCCTAATAGCAATCTTACCCTTCGTCAAGGAAATACTTAAAAACGTTCTTCCTATATCGCATTACGAGGTAAAGCAGGAAGCTTAGCCAGCTCAACGTTGGTTGCTTGCCAACGTGCCGCTTCACTCCATGCCACCACAAGTGCAATATCATCCACTTCCAAGTACTCACTATAAACCGTGCATAAATTTTCTCCACGTATTAAACCTATAATTATAAATCTCTCAACCCTCCAATGCAAAGACTACTTTTCAGACCAGCACATCACTGAAGCATCTGCTGCATAGCATTGAGCCTATAGCTCTCATTCGTCTCAACCAAGTCCGCATGCCGCCCCTGGTCGACAATCCTCCCCCCCTCGACGACGAAAATCATGTCCGCCCGGAGAACAGTGTGCAGGCGGTGCGTAATCGCCAGCACCGTCGTGTCCCTGGACGCTCTCTGCAGACCCCTCTGCAGGGCGGCCTCGCCCTCCGCGTCGAGGGCGCTCGTGCTCTCGTCGAGCAGCAGCAGCCGCGGCCGGCGCACGAGGGCACGCGCAATGGCGACGCGCTGCTTCTGGCCGCCCGAGAGGCGCGACGCCGACGGCCCGCACTGCGTGTTGTAGCCGTTGGGCAGCGCCATGATCTCGTCGTGGATGTTGGCCACGCGGCAGGCCTCCTCGACCTCGGCGGCCGTGGGCTCGTGGCCGGGCACCGCGCCCAGGGACACGTTGTGGAGGACCGTCCCGTCAAACAGGGCCGGGTCCTGCGGCACCAGGGCGATGCCGTTGCGGAACGAGTCGGGGAGGCCGGCAATGTCCAGTCCGTCTATCAAGATGGCGCCGGCCGTGGGCTCGTAAAGCCTCTGGACCAGGTTCATGATTGTGCTTTTGCCGGCCCCGGAGGGACCGACCAGCCCGACGAACTGCTTGGGCTTGATGGTGAAGGAGACGTTGTCCAGGACGGAAGCGTCGCGGTTGCCGGGGTACGCAAAGGATACACGGTCAAACACCACGGTTGCGCCCGTCTTGCCAGAAGCAGCGGTCGGGTCGGGGTCCTTGGTCTCGGCAGTTGCTTCGGCGTCGGGCTTCCGGGATGGATCCGGGAGACCGGAGCCCATGTGGACAATGGCCATGACCCTCGATATGGCGAGGCGCGCTCTGGAAAACTCTGGCGCCAGTGTAAACATGGTTCCCCAGAGCTGGGCGCTCGTCAGCATGGCCACGAGGATGATGAGCAGGTCTCTCTGTGTGTATTCCCCCCTCATAATGAGCTGCGAGCCCCACCAGTAGGTCAAGCCATTGACAAAGGTCGAGATGGTGTGCGAGATGGCAAGCAGGATGTTGGTCTGCGCGGCGGACCTCACGATTTGCTTCGCCGGCGGCTCCAGCAGGCGCTTGTACGACACCGTGTATGTGCTTTCCAGGGAGAGCGTCGCCACCGAGCGGATGGACTGGATGGCCTCGGCGGCCAGGGCATTCGCCGTCGAGAAGGCTTCCTGGTGGCGTTCCTCGAAGCGAGCCAGCATGCGCAGCTGCATGAATCCGGACCCCAGCAGGATGGGAATCGTGACAAGCGTCACCAGCGCAATCTTCCACGCATACACGTGAGATATCACGACGGCGATGATGATGTTGACGCAGATGGCAAAGACAGTGCCAAAAGTAGAGCCGCTAAAGCTGCCAATGGCCATGCAGTCCTTGGTGATGATGGACAGCAGCCTGGACGGCGTGCGCCCTTCGGACGTGTGCCACTCGAGCTTCTGTTGCAGCAACGACCGGAAAGACAGCTGCCGCAGCGCATAGAGTATCCTTTCTCCGATAATGCCGAATCCCCACCAGGCGAGAAAGTTGGCGATGAGCTCGACCGCGCCGAGCATGAAGATTAAGCCGCCAAAGAAGCGGCCCATGGAGAGGATGCGCTCAACGGTGCTCTGGCAAGGGTTCAGAGCACTCACCGTGTAGCCGAATATGAGGCCAGATCCAGAGAATGTGGCACCGACAATGGCAGCCGCCATCAGCGCCATGAGAACCCAACCCAACGATGGTCGGACCAGCCAGGAAATGCCTCTCAAGACGCTGCTGAATGGCTGGGGCACTGTGCCATCTGCTTCCTCTGACGTTTCTTCTGTGCTCTCCGTCGCGGCCTTTTTCTTGTCTGTCTCGGCGTTGCCGGCAGTTGTCTCTTCAAACTTCTCGTTCACGTCGGCTAGCGAGGCACTTGAGCGCGACTCGACCTCTCCCGCACTGCTGCTTGTCGTGCTCAGCTTTTGCAGTTGAACCAAATGGGCAAACTTCCCGCCTTGGACGGCCATGAGCTCGGCATACGTGCCTCGCTCGACGACCTCTCCCGCCTCCAGCACAATGATGTTGTCGGCGCCCTGGATTGTGGACAGTCGATGGGCAATGGAAATCACGGTCCGCTTTCCCGAGGCTGCCGCTTGCTCGATGGCGGCTTGCATCTTTTGTTCGCTCGCCGAGTCGACGCTCGCGGTGGCCTCGTCCAAGATCAGGATTTCAGGATCTCGGATCAGCGCCTGAGCCAAGGCTATACGCTGTCGCTGGCCGCCGCTGACAGAAGTACCCCTGGGCCCAACCGAGGTTCCGTAGCCCGAGGTGAGACGGTCGATGAAGTTGGCCGCATCGGCCTTCTCGGCTGCTTGGCGCACAAGTTGCACAATCTCGGCGAAGCCGCTGCCCTGGGATGACGCCCATGTCATGGCCTCCTTGCCCTTGCTTGCTGCGAGGGCCAGTTCGGGTCTCGCGAGCAACGGCTTCAAGTGCTGGTGTTCTGGGCGTGCAGAGTTGACAAGCCCAAGGGCGATGTTCTCCAGGATGGATGAGTCGAAAAGCGACGGCTGTTGCTGGACAAAGGTCATGGAACTTCGCAGAGATCGCACGTTGAGCTCCCTCAGATCCTGGCCGCCCATCTCAACGGTTCCCGACGTGGGATCGTACAAGCGCGCAATAAGAGATGCAATCGTGGACTTGCCGCTCCCCGACAGGCCAACAATGGCCGTATGCTTCCCAGCAGGGATCTCAAGACTGACTTCTCGCAGGGCAGGCTGGCCCGGGCGGGTGGAATACTCAAACGTCACGTTTCGAAAGGTAATTGTCTTGTCCATCCCTTCACTCAGGGGCCTGCCTGAATCAGAAGTGCCATCTATAGGAGACGGGGTTTCAATGTCTTCCATGAGACGCTGGTACGCAGAGACGCCAGCTCCCAGGAATGGCAGCAACGGCGCCAGGCCGCCCAGCATGACGCACGCATCAATGAGCAGGTAGACAATGGCGTATATCTGTCCAATGGACGAACTGTTACTGGCGTCCGACACGGCGTCGGCGATGCGCACACTGCCCTGCCAGAAGGCGAGGGCGTTGGCGCAGTAGGCGATAAAATACAGTAATCCCGTCTGGACGGCGGCGACGGCAACCTTGGCAATGGCATGCTTGCGGGCGCTTGCCATGTGGCCGACAAACATCTTCTCCAGCCGGGCGGCGGCGCCAAAAGCATGGACGACGGGGATGTGGGACAGAGCCTCGGAGGCAATGGACGAAGCGTGCGACGTGGATTCGTTTTGCTCCTTGGTGAACTTGCCAATGTACTTGCTGCTCAGGATGCCCGATACGAGAAACACGGGCATGACGGATATCAGGATGCCGGCCAGGCTGGGCTGTGTGGAAAAGGCAATGACAAAGACGGTGATGATGAAGCTGAAGGTGGTGATGATGGTGCCGACCTTTTCCGACGTGGCAGACTGGACGGCGGCAATGTCATTCTGCAGCCGGCTCGAGACCTGGCCGGCAGAGCCGCGACTATCGAAGAAGGAAGGGGGCTGGCGCAGCAGAGCGGCGACGTAGTGGTTGCGAAGACGACGGGCCAGGCGCTGGCTGATGATGCCCCAGGAGGTGAGGTGGCAGTAGATGAGGACCAGGGCAATGGCGCCAATCCAGGCCGTCTTGATGACCTTGTCGTTGATGGCGGACTCGTAGCGAAAGGCGTCTTGTCCCGGGCCGTCCTGGGCCGCGCAGGTTGCGCTGTTGAAGTCATCGACAAGCTGGCCGAAAAGGACGCCCATGAGGGGGAAGGGAACGCCGGCTGCGGCAGCGCATAGCGTTCCAAACACGACGAGAAACACGTCAATGTACGTCGGCTGTACGGCAAAGGGGAGCCGGAAGAAGACGAAGATGCTGCCAAAGTCCTGGTGAGTCCAAAGTCAGCTCATCACCTCGATGCTGCGTGTATCGGAGACTTGCCAGCCACTTTCGTCTCGAAGACTGGTCGTCTTCCGAATCTTTGGACGACATGATGTCCGCCTGGGGTTTGAGGCGCTCAATGTGGTGTCTTGGGCGACGGTAAAGAGAGCAGACAGACGCAAGGAGGAGGCTGGATGAGAGTGTTAACGGGTAGGATCTCTATCCATTCTTGGTAGGACTGTATGGAGTCAAAGCGGTCAAACGGACAACCAGTGCCGGAACACTGTGGACACGAACAAGCGGACACTGCTTGCTCCCGATTCAAACGTTGAAAAAGAAGAAAGGAAAAGAGCCAAGGCCCAGCGAGATTTGGAGCGAGACTTGCATCGCTAGCCTCTCGGATATCCGATTTGAGGGTCTTTTTTCGGGAATTTACACTTGGGACGCTTGAAAGCTGACTTCAGCGCCAACCGCGATAATTCCCGCGGATACAGGGAGGCGACAGAGATGAGCATGGATTGACACTAGACTTGGATCCATCGCAGAGGAAGAAGCATTTGCAAGGGGGGGGTGTATCCAAGTCGAAAAGTTGCATGCAGGAAGCATGGGTGTGGTTGGTGGATTCATCACGAAGGATGACTGGAGTTGAATCAATCTGGTATTTGAACCGGGAGGTTGAGCGGTTGGGACCAACCAGCTGCCCACAGATTGACCCCTCTCTCGTCTTGGCACGGCGCTGCTGGCTTGTGCGATGCCAGCTGGCATGTCCGCGAGCGGTGACGGCCAAGCCGTGGATTCTGTCGACTCCCGTGTCCAGGAGGGTCTGGTGTAATGAGTTGCGCTATCCGTCGCGGCACCACGAGTTTTCCGCATCTTGTGCTGGTCACCTGCTCTCGTTAAAGGTCGGTGCTCTGTGGAGTTCCCGGCTCTTTGCGGTATTGGATACAATGCCGCCTTGATTTGGTCCCCAGGGACATCATCTTTGCAACTTGACATTGATTAATCATTATACCATCTCTTGTGACGAGCAACGGGAGGCTGCGCGACTCGCCCAGCAGCCGGCCTGCGTACACAATGAAGCAGAAACGCATCCTCTTCCTGACAAATGCCGAGCTCGGGCAGGCCAATGTCCATCTCGCCGTCCTCCAATGGCTTCAGTCCAACGCCGCAGACGTCGACCTGCACCTGTCTTCGTTCCCCGCGCTGCAGCCGTCTGTGAATGCCCTCAACGAAACCGCCTCGCCCAACGCGCAGGTCACGTTTCACGAGTTGTCGGGCCCGACGTGGAAAGAATGCCTCTTCTACCGCCCCGAGCACCAGTGGCAAGAAATATGCAGCCTGCCTCCGACCGTCTGGAGTGTTTCTCGCGCCGCGCCGCTCATGCCCCGTGTCGCGTGCCCCTGGAGTGCGGACGAGCTGCTTGATCTCATCATGCAGGTCAAAAAGGTGGTGCAAACTGTCGATGCAGACCTCGTCATGGTCGACAACCTCTTCACCCCCGCCGTCACAGTCTGCTACGACATCAAGCCCAGGTGGTCGATTCTGTCGCCAAACACCTATCGTGAATTCATCCTTGGCAAGCAGCCTCGTTATGAGTCCTTTTGGAAACATCCCCCGTATGTCCGAACCTGCATCCCAACCCCGTCGTGTGACTGACGTCAAGACACGGAAAGAACAGCTTCATTTATCCCCTACCCCGTGCCGCTCTACTTGATTCCAGCAGCGTTGTACTACCAGCGAGAATGGAGAAAGAACCCCCATAGCGATTACATACACAGTGTCGCCATGAGTATTTGGGAAAAGACTGAGATATACTACTCCGACTGGGGTCGCATATCCTTTGATCCACCGGAAGGTTTAAAGGTTTTTCTTCCTAGCAACTCGACTGTTGACTTTCCGTTTTCCGTCGTTCCAGAGCACTATGTTTCGTGTGGACCGATGGTTCGCTCAGCCCCGCCGTTAAAAGAGTCTGATGCGGAATTAGATGCGTGGATACGGCAAAGGTCAACCGTGTATATCAACTTGGGCACGCATTTCCTGTACGATGATAGCGGGACCATGAGCCTCGCGGCTTCCATTAAATCCCTTTTAGACGCTGCAACAGAGGCCGGACAAGATATTCAGGTACTTTGGAAGCTGAACAAGGGCGACAAATCTGGCGGCGATTACGCACCCTTGCATCAGAAGATTGGCTACCATGATCGTGTTCGTATTGTCGACTGGCTGTTGGCTGAGCCTATTTCAATCCTCACTTCGGGTGCGGTCATCTGCTCAGTCAACCACGGCGGTGCCAATAGTTATTTCGAAGCTGTCAGGTTTGTTATTGTTCTCCCATCCATTGCGGCTCAACATTTCCTAACTTTACACAGCGCGGGCGTGCCTCAAGTCGTGCTCCCGGTGTGGTTTGATACCTACGACTTTGCACGGCGCGTCGAGTACTTTGGCATTGGCAAGATAGGCAACTACCACAGCGCGCCGAAGTGTTCGGAAAGCGAGCTGTCGCCGATCCTGAAGCAGGTTGTGCTGGGGAGACGGGCTGAAATCATGCGAAGCAAGGCCGCTGCCATGGCGGAAGCGTGCAAGACCAACGGCGACGGGTGCGCAGTCGCGGCGCAGGGGATTCTCAACTTGGCGCTTTCTGCGGCTGAGGCCTGATGGAGAGAGTAGGAACCGACGGCCTACCAAGTACATACAACCTAGAGGCGGTCAAGACTACGCTAGTCATGAATATAGCATTTTGGCGCACTACAGCAAACGGTTCATGAACATACTCTTGGCAGTGTTAGGGACAGCTAACCTGGCCACGATATTGTCGTGTCAGTTGGTGCGATGAGGAACAATAGCCGACATGGCAACACGGCGACGACCCACCATGGGAATAGAAAACGTTGAGCCATCCATCGCTGACCTGGCATCGATACTGTCAGTAGTATTAAGCACCTCTTCCGCACTAGGCGATCAGTTTCAGCAGCCTAGCCAGCTCTTTGCCCAACAAGACGGTGGAGATGGTGTGGTCCTATAGGCGACGGGTCAATTGGTGCGTTGATCACTTGGTGGTCACGATGCTGACACACCCATGTCTGGCCAAAACGCCACCGCTCCACACCACCGGTCGAGTTTAATTTCGTTTTTATCTGCCCACATCTTATCTGATCCTGCCTAGCATCCTGGCTCTGGTGGGACGCACTCGTCGCATGACTCCAGCCACCAGACGGGCTGATTTGTCTACCATCCCAGTCCGCGAGAATTGCACTCAACTCGGCATGCCCAACCGGCTTGCCCCCCCAATCAGCTCGCTTCCAATGTCCCACTTGCTTCTCGCCCTTGAGAACAGAGTTTTCTATTTTATTTTTTTTCCCTTTTTCCCTCGTTTTTCTCTTGGCACCTCCATTTTTTGCGTCTGGTCCCTCGTGGCAAGCGGCAGGGATCACCGTAAAGAGCCGCGGGCTGTCCGATGACCGGCCTACTTCAAGGCTCGTTCTTCCGGCCCTCCTCGTAACCTTCATCTGCCCTCCGCTTCTTGCAACAAGGTAAAAACAAGGTGCAACAAAGTCCGACTCTGCATTTTCCATCTCCTCGACATGGACAAGATCAAGTCGACTGACGGGCCGCGTCCCCCTGCTGGTGAATCTGATGCCGAAAAGGGCCATCATGGAGTCAACACCACGGCGGTAGATGGCTCGACCACCAGCGGTGTCAAAAACGATGGAAATGCCTCTGATTCCGACGAATTCCAAGACGGCGTGCGAGAGGTTCGCGCCGTCACGACAGTCTGGTCCAAGACGTCGCTCTTCTCCATGTTTGCCTTGTAAGTTGTCGCCGCCGAAAAAAACCCCCAAAGGACCACGGCTGACGGAAACAGACTCTACCTGGTCTCCTTTGTGGACTACCTCCAGAACAACATCGACTCCATCCTCAACCCGTACATCACGTCGTCGTTTGGAAAGCACGGGCTCCTCAACGTCGGCAGCGTCATGTCCACCATTATCGGGTCCGTGGCGCCGCTCTTCATCGCCAAGGTTGTCGACATCTGGGGCCGCGCCGAGGGCTTCCTGCTCATGGTGGTCGTGTGCGTCATCGGCATGATCATCAAGGCCGTCGCCCAAAACGTCGAGACGTACGTGGCCGCCCACACCATGTACTGGGTCGGCCACATCGGCATCGGGTACGTCATGAACGTCATGCTGGCCGACATGAGCAGCCTCAGGAACCGCATGCTCGCCATTGCCATCAACGGCACGCCCCGCCTCGTCGGCAACTACGCCGGCCCCAACATTGCCGGCCTGTTCTACCGCAACCTCAACTTCAGATGGGCCTTTGGCGCCTTCAGCATCATCCTGGTGGCGTGCAGCGCGCCCGCCATCGGCCTGATGTGGTCGATGCTGGGCAAGGCCCGCAGGGAGGGCGTCATTGAGAAGCGCCAGGCGTCCGGCCGCACCTGGCTCCAGTCCATCCAGTTCCACGTCGTGGAGATGGACTTGGTGGGCATGATTCTCATCATGGGTGCGCTGGCCTGCATCCTGCTGCCCTTCAATCTGGTCGCCTATGCCCCGAGGCAGTGGGAGACTCCCTACATTATTGCCATGCTGGTCCTGGGCGTTCTCCTCTTCCCCGCCTTTTACGTCTGGGAGGCCAAGATTGCCAGGGTCCAGTTTCTCCCCTTCCGGTTCCTGAAGCAGGGCACCATCATCGGCGGCTGTCTACTGTACGGCGTCATGTTCCTGTCCACCTTTTGCTGGAACGGATACTTTTACTCGTACCTCCGCGTGGTGCACCGCCAAAGCCTCGAGAATGCGGGATACATTGTCAACACCTTCTCCACCACCTCGGTCGTCTTTGGACCCCTGGTGGCCCTCTTCATCAGCTACACGGGCAACTTCAA